ACTGTGCTTTGTGTACGGCGTTGTTGGCTGGCCCTGCAGTCCCTTGGAACCATCCACTTTCAGGTGATTTCGTGAGTGTCTTAGGGCTTCGTGCGCCTTTCATGATGCAACCCTGTGGCGACAGTGTGGCCCCCATGCCTCTGAATCTTGTGGTAAGGGGTTCCACTGCAGTGGTACTAGGGACTTCACTTGCTTTTGGAAGCCAAGTAGCAACTGGCCCGGCTTCTAAGCGTCAAACATCTCAGCATGAGGTGTTTGGCCCAATGCATTGCGCCGGTGAACTCGGCATGTCTTCATTGCTTGACTGTGCTTTGTGTACGGCGTTGTTGGCTGGCCCTGCAGTCCCTTGGAGCCATCCACTTTCAGGCGATAGCATGAGTGTCTTAGGGCTTCGTGCGCCTTGCATGATGCAACCCTGTGGCGACAGTGTGGCCCCCATGCCTCTGAATCTTGTGGTAAGGGGTTCCACTGCAGTGGGACTAGGGACTTCACTTGCTTTTGGAAGCCAAGTAGCAACTGGCCCGGCTTCTAAGCGTCAAACATCTCAGCATGAGGTGTTTGGCCCAATGCATTGCGCCGGTGAACTCGGCATGTCTTCATTGCTTGACTGTGCTTTGTGTACGGCGTTGTTGGCTGGCCCTGCAGTCCCTTGGAGCCATCCACTTTCAGGCGATAGCATGAGTGTCTTAGGGCTTCGCGCGCCTTTCATGATGCAACCCTGTGGCGACAGTGTGGCCCCCATGCCTCTGAAGCTTGTGGTAAGGGGTTCCACTGCAGTGGGACTAGGGACTTCACTTGCTTTTGGAAGCCAAGTAGCAACTGGCCCGGCTTCTAAGCGTCAAGCATCTCAGCATGAGGTGTTTGGGCCAATGCGTTGCGCCGGTGAACTCAGCATGTCTTCATTGCTTGACTGTGCTTTGTGTACGGCGTTGGCTGCCCCCGTCCCTTGGAGCCATCCACTTTCAGGCGATCGCATGCGTGTCTTGGAGCTTCGCCTGCCTTGCCTGATGCAACCTCATGTCCTGGGCATCTTGCAACACCATGGAACTGCCACTTGGCAGAGGGTTGGGGCTCAGGTGAGGCTGAAGAAGCTACGCGCAATTCAGGAGAAAGAATTGGCGAGGAGAGCAGCCTTTGCCTTTTCTTCGACTTTCAATTCATTGATTTCACGCGCCATGCCCCAGGCTGAGCTGGCGCCAAACCTGCCTTCCTTGAAAGTCAAGACAGTGCAGAAAGTAGAGACCAACAGGGCGGCCAGTGCGGCAATTGTCCTGCTTCAGGGAGGAGCGAGGACACATCTTGACTTGGAGAGGATTGCCGGCCACTTGGCCCGGGTTTGGCCTGCTACCGCTGCATCTATACCTACGGTGGAGAAGTGTCTGCAACATGGTGGCTTCCTATCACTGATTCGGCAAGTTCTGGCATTCGGCCCCTTCATGCTGGCAGGCCATTCTCTCGGCCTGAACCTAGCACAGACAGTGGCAGAGTGCCTGGGCTGCACGGGCATCAAAGTGCATGGCATCATAGCTTTGGACCCCAGGACAAGGGGGCGGCGATTTCTCGAAATCCCAGATTTGCACCGGCCCTTGACCCAAGCTTTGGTTCCTCGCATCCGTTTGGAGACTCTTGAGAAGGCCTTCGAGTCCACGTATGTGCCCTTTCTTTCGTTTCCACAGCGCCCAATGCAGCATCCAAGTGAACTGGCCCAAGAGGTCCAATCTGTGGCCGAAATGGGGAAGATGCTCGCAGACACCAACCACTTCACACTCAAGGACACTCATGTTTGGGACATCGCCGCCTATGTCTACGCCAAGGCTGGACGGTTGACGTTTGCCACCACGGAAGCAATAGTTCAATTTGGCCAGTTCTGTGTGCTTGTTGTTTTGTTAGCTTGCAGTTGCCTCATGAGTTTCATTTGTGAGCGAAGATCAACAAATTGAACCTTGATCAGACGCACCACTTGACATGCAGCACTGGTCGTAGCAGATCGCTAGAAGGTCACGCTGAATTGCTTGCGCAGGGCAGATAGCATTGAACATGGCCACGCGCCTCATTGTTTGCAGACCCCGTTTTAGGTTCACACTTACGTTGAACAAGGATCAATAATCCAAGACGTACAAGACGATCAATAATCAGTTTTCTATATTCCGTTCCCCTTGTTTTAGGTTCATGGTTATGTCTTGTTGTGAACAAGCACGCATCACGTCTTACCTTCCTTTTGCCAAGGTTTATAGCAGAGGATTAAATTATTGCCCTGATGGCGTCCCAGCAAAAAGGGCAGCTGGTGTTCAACTTTTGCCTTTTGGCAAACAGGCACGCTGACTGAGCTTGGCTTGCGATCTGCAGCTGGCCATGGAAAGGGGCATTTTGAAGCACGTGACTTGATGTAGAGTGCGCATATTGTGCTACAAGAGGACAGGTTTAGCAAGTTGCTGGCATGATAATACCAATGTTGCTGTTCAGAATCAGGCTCCAAGAAGTGTATTTGGAGCATGCTTGGGAGATGTTGGCGAATGTGCCTTTGGCAGCGGCCGGATACTTGTAATAAATAGAGGGAGCTTTTCCATCGAGGAATGTCCAGTAAATACAAGCAACTTAACGGATGTTCTTGCCAAGCTGGAATTTGGAGCTGTTCTGACGTGGGGTCATCCGGGTTGTTTGGCAGAGACAACGGCCATGTGCAAAAGCAGCAGTGACAGGGGGTGAGCCAGATTTCGGCGGAGACAGGGCTCCAACGTCACTCTGGAGCAGTTCAGGGTATCCGCCCTTTAACGAGTGACATTTTGTTTTCTCCTTGTGTGCTTCGCGCTGAGTTCCATTGCATTTTGCACCTTGCTCGCGCCTGGTTTCACACTCCCAGCTCGGTGGTGCTCATCAACAAATGATGACAACCATTGATTCAGTTCCTAATCGTGACTCAAACCTTTGTGTTGCAATCAATGACAGGCTGCGCCACTGAGCTTGCTTGTTTTGACAGCAAACTTCAGCTGATAGGTGGCTTCGCCTTGGCCTTGTTTGCTTTCATGTTACAGACCTTGGCTCCTGCTTGAGCATCGCATTTTCAGCGTGTGAAGCTTTGACCAAGGTGAAGCGGGTTTCGGCGGATGTCCACTTAAGAGAGCAGCCACATCCGTAGAATCTTATACAATGTCGCAGAGTGCGCGTGAAAAGGCCTTTAATCACATTTGAAGCGCGTTTAAACCAGGGCCCTGGTAGGCTGAACTCCGCATGCAGACTTGTTTGCCTCGGCACCCGTTTAATTGGGCCATTGTAGCTCGGGCTCGAATTCACTGCCTGGAACCGGAGAGTGAATTGTCAGGAGTTTTTTTGGGCCCAGCCGACTTCTAGACATGTTCAGGGCGTTCCTCTTCGATTCAATTGGGGAACTCGTGTTCTTCTCTTGATGGTCCAAAGATTCGAGTTCAAGAACTCCGATCATTTGGACAATTTTGTGTTGCCAGGAGCTGACAGTTGGAAGCCTTTTCCACGTCTTCGAGGCGCGCGTTAAAAAAACGACACCGCTACAAGAACTAGGGGTTCAAATCCAAATCCAAACCGATCCAAAACACCAATTGCGGGTTACCACTACCAGCGATGTTCCTCTCGGTTGTTAAAGGGTGGCAAGCCCTTGGTTACCGAGGAATGGAATCCCTGGGGCCTCCCAATGGGTTGACCTCCCAGTTACCGAGGACGCCGGTCTGGGAGACGAGGATTGGCTCCTGAGAGCTCGCCTGTCGCAGGGAGGAGTCTCCAACCTTGTTGGGGTAGACATGGTAGACTCAATATGATAAGCACAGAATCAGAAAAACCTGTTTTTCTGTAGTTTCCGTTTTGTGGCCTTATCGCATAGTTCGATGTTTCAAGACAGGGAACCGTTTCAAACGATTGGTTTAAATGCAACAACCGAAGTCAGGGAAGGTCCTTACCTTGTTCTTGGGGCTCTGAGAACCATGCTGGGGGGCTACGTTAGTTACTTAACCCTCGACAAGCACCCAAGATGGTGGCTTTCATTTTGCTCTCCCAGGTCCCAAGCCACTGCGGAATAGTTCAAAGAGCGTATGTGTGCATACACATATACATATGTTTTTGCTTGTGTGCAAATGTGTGATACCCTTGTTCACCTTGTTGGGTTTTGAAAGGCACGGCCTTTCGAGTTTTGGGCGGAGGGATGTTGTGAGTCTGTCAATTCTTCCTGGGGAGAAAACAATCTTGGGATAGGTTTGTGGGGGAGTTGTTGGGCCAGATACTTGTTACGGTCATGGGATCAGCTTGCCACAGGCGAGTCGGCGACTCCAAAAGGGGTCGCTATCAATTGGCTTAGAGCCACGGCCGAGTCAACAAGTTCCAAGGGACGTGCACGACGTGGGATCTGGGCCCAGAAAACAAACAGAGAGGCCGTTAGACATGGCGCGGTGAGCGTGCCAACAGCCTGCCTTCCAGTCAGGACACCAAATCTCGGGATCGAGTCCGAGCCAAGAGAGTTTGCGCGCGACGGTGAGCTCTTGACCTTGCCAACCCACCCAGCGGATTGCGACGGTCAATGTTGATGGATGTACAAACCTGGCAGACTGAGACTGGGGTGTTTTCCCCCCTACATGGGAAATTCCGATATGAATCAACCAGGGTCTTCTAAATCTGCGGTCAACATTGGCAAACTGCAAGCACCGACTTTCTTTGCTCTGCATGGAAAAAAGGCCAGCCACGAGTCTGCAGTAGCCACCTGATGACATGCCCCGCACCAGCCAAGCTGCGAAAAGGTGTCGTTCAAGCAGAGGATGTGGCAGAAGGTCAGCTGTCGCCAAGGGCAAGAGCAGCAGGCAACACCCGAGGACAGCCACCACAACAAAGAGAAGAAGAAGAAGAAGAAGAAGAGGAAGAGAAGAAGAACCATGGATGAATATTATATATGCATATATATATATATATATGTAATATACAAGTTGATATGTATAGCTGTACACGTAGGGACACGGCAAACTGCAGAGAGCATAGGGCGAGTCAAGCAGGAACCTCAGCCGCCGTAAGCGGAAAGCGGATTCGCCATGGACACCATGGATTCAGAGCCCGCTTCCTCTTCTTCTGCCGACCCCTTGCAGAGCATCCCGAAGAGTCCAGTGGTGGTGCTGATGCCTGGCGAAATCGGTACTGTTGGGTTGTGTGTTTCCTTTCGGGGATATTTTAATCAGAAGGTGAAAGGTAGCCATTCTCCTTCGGGGTTCAAGCCCAGTTTGAGACAATCCCATCGACCTCGACTTAGATCGGGTTCAAGCCCCCCCCCTTTGGGTTTCGGTGTAAACCCAAGAAAGACGCACCCACGAACAAAAGCCCTCCCAACATGGAGCCCATGTGACTTGGACCCATTTTCCTCAAAGCTCAAAGGACCTGGGTTTGGCAGTGTGGGCGAAAGGGCATGCTGGACCTGTTTGGCGTTCCTTCAATTTGCTCTTTGCGGGCTGATACTGTGGATGGGCGAGATCCATTTCGCCCCACTTTGAAACCATGGGAAGCCCATGCTTGTTGGTATTTACAGGGGAATCATCATTCCAGGGTTTCTTAGGTGCAGGATTTCGTCCATCCACAGTAGAAAGTGAGGCGTGGTCGCAGCATCTCCCCTTCGCTGCTTCCCAGCATCACCTTTTAACCCATCTTGAATTGAGTTTGGGGACGTACGGGGAAGCCTCCTGCCAGTGTCGAGTCAGTTTCCTTGTGGGGTAATGCTGACATGAGCCCATGTCCGCCGGTCCATTTTGGAAGCCACACGACAATGCAGGTTTGCACTTGATTGGTTAGCTGAACTGCAAAGGGGTTCGGTGCCTTTTGATTGGTTAGCTAAACCCAAGAGGTGAGGAAAGGTCACGTTGGGTGCCTTCACGTAAAGCCCATCTCGCAAACTCCATGTCAAATGGGTCTCAACCCGCTTCCCGTTTTCACACCCCTTGGTATTTCCTCCTGTTCGACTTCCGGAGAACCCCCCGATTTCTGGAACCAGACTTCTCCCCCGTCTCGCTCGGGCCATGGGGCCGCTCACGGGTTCAGGATGGTGGGCATGGCGGGCAGCGGAAAGAGCACCTTCATGCACCGACTGGTGGTGCGCCTGCAGAGTCCCTCGCTTTTCTGATTTCCCGTTTTGTCAGTTGAAACATATATTATCTTAGTGGGCTGTCCAACCAATGGTCCCATGCTTGACGGACCCTTTGGTTACATTGTATGACGAACCATCAGCTTCCATTTGCTGAAATGAATGTTTTACTTCCCCCCTTGTTGTTGTTAAAGGGAATCGATTTCACTACTGGACATAGTTTCTCGTTTTTCCTGGGGACTTAAGCAATTGGAGGAAAATGATGGGGGTTGGTCAATGTTCCCTTCGGCCCCCCAGTTTTGACCATGGGTAGCTGTTACCATGTGGCGAAAGTCATCGTTTTGGTGGTTTCGCTAATGGCCACCCCGTGTTTTACGGATTTTTTGATCAACCGATGAATCCTTTTCTTGCTGCTGCGGAATACGCAGGGAATGAGAAATGGAATGACCCTGGTTTCCTTTAAGGAGACCCCCTTCCGGTTCATCCCACATTCCTACTTGTCACACCCGCATGTTTCTTAAGGGCACCTTTTTCGGGCATGATTTACATGTTTCTTGTGTCGGGGGAATTGTGTACTCCTTGCATGTTGTATCGATGTGTTGCAAACCTGCTGTAAGTGGGAACCCCAAACACCATGCTGACCAACCAAAAGGCGCTTGCGCAATGACAAGTGTATCACTCGTGGTACCCACGTTTTCCATGCTCGATTGATGTCTTCGCTGCACGCGCAACCGACATGTTCTGACCAAGTGATGCAATTCGATTTGCGCAATTCGCGTTTGGGCGGGTTGAGCATCCAAAGTGTGTCCTTGTCCGAGTTCACCTTCTTGCTGGTGTTCAGCAGGCCATGAGAAACGGACTCCAAGAAAAGGAAGCCATCCATTTCCTGTGGTGTCCTTTCGGGAATCCCCCCAACCGCGGATTCCATGTCTCACTCCCTATCGCGATCGCAAGTCGTCGAGCCGCGTTTCGTGGGGTAATTAGGTCAGAAGAAGCGGGTCTACACTGTGAACCTGGACCCGGCGGTGCGGAACCTGGCCTATCCCATCAACGTGGACATCCGGGATACGGTGAACTACAAGGAGGCGGGGCTCGGTCCAAAAAAAAAAGGAGATCTGCCAGGGTTGGACGGAGCTCCGGGAGAGACATGCCTCAGATGTTTTGCTCCAGGTAGGGGGTTTCCCAATCCTGTGGACATCATTCTGGTGCGAATTGATGTCCACCAAAATTTCTTGGTTGGCTGGCCGGCTGGCTGGCTCGCTGTTTGGCTGGCTGGCTGGTTGTCTGGTCTGCTTGCGTGCTAGCTTGCTTGATTGATTGGTTGGTTGGTTGGTTGGTTGCTTGATTGATTGATTGATTGATTGATTGATGGCTGGAGTACTGATTGATGGATTGTTTGATTGATTGATTTGATTTGATGTGATTTGATTATTGATTAATTGATTGATTTGATTGATTTGATTTATTGACTGGTTTGATTGATGCGATTAATTTACTGATTGGTTGGTTTGATTGTTTTGATAGATTTACTGATTAGTTGGTTGCTTGCTTGATTGATTAATTGATAAAATGAGTACTGATTGATGGATTGTTTGGTCGATTGATTTGCTTTGATGTCATTTGATTGATTGTTTAATTGATGGATGGATTTATTGACTGATTTGACTTATTGACTGGTTTGATTGATTTGATTGGTTTGATTGATTTACTGATTGGCTGGTTGTTGATTGATTGATTGATTGATGGATGGAGTACTGATTGATGGATTGTTTGGTTGATTGATTTGATTTGATGTGATTTTGTTTACTGATTAGTTGAGGATTGATTTCATGATGTATTTCATTTATTGACTGGTTTGATTGATTTGATTGATTTGCTGATCGGTTGGTTTGGTTGGTTGCTTGGTTGGTTGGTCGGTTGGTCGGTCGGTCGGTTGGTTGGTTGGCTGGCTGGTTGGTTGGTTGGTTGGTTGGTTTTATTGATTTGATGGCCTCATTGATTGATTGGTTGATTGATTGGATTTGTTATTGTTAGCTTTGTTTGATTTAACTTTGGATGGTGTTCGTGAATTTTTGTGGTTTCAAAGGTTTGATGTGTTTTTCGTTTTTTTTTTTTTTTTTTTTTTTTTTTTTTTTTTTTTTTTTTTTTTTTTTGTTTTTTTTTTTTTTTTTTTTTTTTTTTTTTTTTTTTCGGTTGATTTGATTGGATGGTTGGATGGATGGATTGATTGATTACATATTGTTGGGCCAGAGGGACCGCACTTCCGTTTTCTCACCCGTGGATCGCTTCGAGTGCGAAGCCCGGGATGAAGGGTCAGCTACCTGACGCGGCACACCTGGGCTCGGGGCAGCTGAGCGCTCCCGCAAAAGCATTACCAGCACTCAAAGCACGAGCACAGCACTAAGCCCAATGCCACACTGAACAAAATTGCGGCTGAAATCTGTGTCTCAGTTGATTTCCTCGGTGCTTTAAGTTTGAAGCCTTGAAGCCATTCCTCAGCTCGCTGAGGTGATGAAGCACTTCGGTTTGGGGCCCAACGGCGCCATCATGACCTCGCTGAACCTCTTCGCCACCAAGTTCGACCAGGTCCTCACCATCCTCGGCCGCCGGGCGGAGATGTTGGACTACATCCTCATCGACACCCCGGGGCAGATCGAGGCTGGTGGACGAGGTGTTACCGCCTTTTTATTTCCCGGTGGAACCAAGGGAACCTTCGTTAGATAGTGACAAAGTTGTATCTTAAAACAAACGTAAGACATAAAGCGACAAACCATAACATAAACATACAAAATTCACATATAAAGCCGACTTTGATATCTCACCATGGAAGGTCTTCAACTGGTCGGCCTCCGGTCAGATCATCTGCGACAGCCTGGCTGTGACCTATCCCACCACGGTGTGCTACGTGGTGGATACCGCCAGGCGGCGGCGGGGTCTCTACTTTATGGCTGTTTGGTAGCGGATCTTCTGACTTTAACTTTTTAGGAGACAGTCGGATGTTCAAGTAGACCCACACCACATTAGTCACTTGTTGCAGAGGGTCGTAACTGAAGTTGAATCGCCACACCACAATGCCAGGTGCGTAAAGCCTGTGACCTTCATGTCCAACATGCTCTATGCCTGCTCGATCCTGTACAAGACGAAGCTGCCCTTCGTGATTGCCTTCAACAAGACCCATGACATGATTTTAGCTATGGCTTCCCTTAATAATTTCAGCCTTTTAGGGGGGGGGGTATGGGAACCAAAAGATCGATGTTTTTTTTTTTTGGTTTTTGTTATATATATATATAGTGTGTGCGTGTGTTGTTTCCCCATGTTGAGACAACTGAAGCGCTTCGACTTTGAAATTGGCAACGCGGGATATTCCCGAAGGGGAAGAACCTAGGGAAGCCCGGAAACCATGCAACAAAGCGATTTCGCGAGGATCGACGTCATCCCCCACGACTTCCTCAAGGAGCCCGGGCAACCGAAAGGAGTTCGAGAACTTGCCCACAAATTGATTCCACAGCAAGATTCTGCCGGAGCTCGTTGAAGGGGGCCTGAAAAGGGGGGGGGGGTTGATTGGGGGCTTTGTTTGCAACAAAAAACCAACCTAAACTAAAAGGTTTTCATCGGGAAGCTAAGCAAGCTTCGGACAAATAGACCAAATGCCCGCATGTGGTTCATTTTTCCTGGGAACTCCCTTGCGAACCTTGTTTCAGTGACTCTGAAAATGGTTGGAGACAACGAGACACCTTCAATAGTATAAAAGAATCTTCTAAATGGCCGGAACGCCCCTTGGGCTTTCGATAGAAATCTCAACCTTTAGGCCGACCGAAAAAAGGAAAAGCAGCTTCCCTTCCAGCATTACTGGTTTCTCTTCAGCCGGGGTGGCGTTCCAACTTTTAAACCAACCAGCTTCCGCTTCCGACCCACAATCCCACCGCCCCCACCCAATCCCCAGCATCACCAACCCCACCAACCCCACCAACCCCACCAACCCCACCAACCCCACCAACCCCACCAACCCCACCCCTCCCCCCGCCCGCCCGCCCAGTTGCCCAGTGGTGCCCTTTTTTCCTTTTATGGGGAAGGGTTCCGATTCCTTTAACGTCAACCAACCAGAAAAGGCACTCCAATTGGCGGGTCGGGTCTTGAGCAATGTGGCGGAACCAACCAGAAAAAGGATGCCCCCCTTTTGTTCCCCCTAAAAAAATGTTCAAATGTTTGTTGGGTGGGAAGGCGTTAGTCTTTGTTCTTGCCTATTAATTCACTTTTGGTCTACACGTATTCAAGCTACCAAGAATCCACAAGGGGCCTCTCAGCCCCAAAAATACATCTCTTAGAAGGACTCCTTCCAAAAAGGAAATAAACATTTTTTCCACCACCCTTCCCCCCCCCCCCCCCACCAGGGGCCTCTGAGCCCCTGCCCAACCCCCCCTTTTCCCGGAGGAGTGGATGGAGGACTTCGAGAAGGTGGGCGACGCGCTGAGCCGGGAGAGCTCCTACGTGGCCTCGCTGGCCAGGTCCATGAGCCTCGCCATGGAGGAGTTCTACAAGAACCTGAGGCGCCCGCCCGCCGTCGCGGTTTTTTAGGCTTTTTTTGTTTCCCCCCAAAAAATGGATCGGTGTTTGGTTTCACGCGCGGGTTTCTAGGTTTTTTTGTTTTTTTTTTTGGGTTTATTTTCTCGGAGATGGATCGGCGTTCGGTGGTTGAACGCGCGGGTTTGGGGGGCACAGGGGGTGTAGGTTGGGTGGGTGGGTGGGTTTGGCGGGTTTGCCGGGTTTGGTGGGGGGTTGGTGAGTGGGGCGGGTTGGGTGGTTGGTTTGCCTTTTGGTTTGGTTTGTGGTGTTTTGCTAGGGGTCCTGCACTCCGGGTCCCTGGCGGAATCAGCCAGCCAGCCAGCCAGGGAAATGTCCGGCGGAATCAGCCAGGCAACCAAGACGGCGGAATCAGCCAGCCAGCTCAGGAGATGCCCGGCAGATAGAGAGATTGGTAGATAGAGAGAGGTTGGTAGATAGATGCAGGGAGAGATAGGTAGAAAGAGAGAGAGAGAGAGAGAGAGAGTCAGAGAGAGAGATGGGTAGATAGAGAGAGGGAGAGAGATAGGTAGAGAGGTAGGTAACTATATATATATCTATTTATATATATATATATTTATGCAGGTAGATAGGTAGATAGAGAAATATGTATGTATATATACATATGTAGGTGGATCGGTATATATCGAGAGAGACAGAGAGATTTGCACATAGAGAGAGAGAGATTTGCAGATAGAGAGAGAGAGAGATGGGTAGATAGAGAAAGATGTAGCTATATATATATATATTGCTAGAGAGATAGAGAGAGAGTGAGATAGGTCGATAGAGAGAGAGAGATAGGTAGATAGAGAAGTATGTAGATAGATGTATGCATGTACATGTAGATAGATAGGTCGGTACAGAGAGAGAGAGATAGGTGAATATAGAGAGAGAACTAGGCAGATAGAGAAAGATGTAGATGAGATAGAAAGGCAGATAGGTATAGAGAGAGAGAGACAAATGTAGACATAGAGAGAGAGGTAGGTAGATAGAGAATTATGTAGAGAGGTGTATATACATATGTAGATGGATAGGTAGATAAAGAGATATGTATATATATATATATATATTTATGTAGATAGACCGGTGTATATATATAGAGAGAGATATGTAGATAGGGAAAGATGTAGATAGAAGTTTAGGTAGGAAAAATGTAGATCTATACAGAGAGAGAGAGAGAGATAGGTAGACAAAGCAATATATGTGTATATGTGTAGACAGATAGGTCTACATAAAGCAGATAAAACATATGTGCAGAGATTGATTTATATATATATATGTAGAAAGATAGGTATATATAAGGAGATTGGAGGGAGGGAGAGATAGGTAGTTAGAAAAAGAGAGACAGAGAGATAGGTAGATAGAGAAGTATGTAGCTAGATATATGCATATACATGTAGATAGATAATTCGGTAGAGAGAGAGAGATATATAAGTGAATATAGAGAGAGAACTAGGCAGATAGAGAAAGATGTAGAGAGATAGGTAGATAGAGACATAGAGAGGCAGATGGGTGTAGAGAGAGAGAGAGAAATGTAGATATAGAGAGAGGGAGAGAGATAGGTAGATAGAAAAATATGTGTATATATATATATATATGTGTAGATAGATAGATATATATATCTATATGTAGAGAGAGAGAGATTTGTAGATAGAGGGAGAGAGGGATAGGTAGATAGAGAGAGAGAGACAGGTAGATAGAGAAGAATGTAGATAGATATACACATATACATGTAGATAGATAGGCCGGTAGAGATAGGTGAATATAGACAGAGAACCAGGTAGATAGAGAAAGATGTAGATAGATATTTAGATAAAGAGATAGAGAGAGATAGGTATAGGGAGAGAGAGAGATATGTATATTTAGGGAGAGGGAGATATGTAGATAGAGAGAGATGGGTAAATAGAGAACGATGTAGATAGATACATAGATAATGAAATAGAGAGGGAGATAGGTATTCATCAAAGGAAGTTTAACAAGAAACTTCCGTACTACTGGGACTAAATGAGCCAGCTGCTTTGACATATATGGCCATGACAGGTAGCTTGACACATATATAGCTTTCCAAAATATGGTTAGCGTGACAGATAGATAGCTTTGACGTATAGCTAGCGAAAATGCTTCGACAAATGCTGAAATCAGGAGAGCTGGGGGATAGCAAGATGCAGAAACGTTGGCGCTGTGCGTGAATTGGACTTCCGGACAGTGCGCAAACCACCTCGGCTGCGACGCCTGTACGGAGGCGGGTGCGGGACGGTCCCGGAACGGTCTCGGAGACGGGACCATTGGCACGGCCGCGCGCAGGTTTCGCAAGGTTTGAGTTGCGTGGCAGGCGCAGCACTTTCGCAAGGCCAAGTATAGATTTCGTGGCAGGCACAGCACTTTCGCAAGGTGCTGGATCCACTCTCTGCGAGCTGGGGGATAGCAAGATGCAGAAAACGTTGGCGCTGTGTGTGAATTCGGCTCCTTGCAAAGTCCACTTTCGCAGCTGGGGCTCGAATTCGCAACTTTTAAGTACGAAAGTAGTCCTGTTGCAGCTGTGACTCGAAATCGCAACGTTTAAGTACGAAAAAGTCCGCGAAGCCGACTTTCGCAGGGGATCGAAATCGCAAGTTTTAAGTGCAAAAAGTAGTCCGAAGTCCACTTTCGCAACTGGGGCTCGAGATCGCAACTTTTAAGCGCGAAAGTAGTCAAAAAAAAGAAAGAAAGAAAGCAATCAAGCAAGCAAGCAAGCAAGCAAGCAAGGAAGGAAGGAAGGAAGGAAGGAATGAGAAAAAAAAAGAAAGAAAAGAAAGAAAGCAAGCAAGCAAGCAAAGAAAGAAAGAAAGACAGAAAAAAAGAAAGGAAGGAAGGAAAGAAAGAAAGAAAGAAAGCAAGAAAGACAGAAATAAAGGAAGAAAGAAAGGAAGGAAGAAAGGAAGGAAGAAAGGAAAGGAAAGAAAAGAAAAGAAAAGAAAAGAAAGAAAATAAAGAAAGAAACAAAGCAACAAAGAAAGAAAGAGACAAAGAGAACGAGAGAAAGAGAGAACGAGAGAAAGAGAGAACGAGAGAAAGAGAAAAAGAGAGAAAGAGAGAAAGAACGAAAGAAAGAAAGAAAGAAAGAAATAATGAAAAGAAGAGAGAAAGAAAGAAAGAAAGAAAGAAAGAAAGAAAGAAAGAAAGAAAGAAAGAAAGAAAGAAAGAAAGAAAGAAAAGACAGAAAATACAGAAAAAAAAGAAAGACAAGACAGAAAAGAAACCAAGAAAGAACAAAAGAAAGAAAGGAAGAACGACAGCAAGCAAGAAGGAAGGAAGGAAGGAAAAAAGGAGGGAAGGAAGGAAAGCAAGAAGAAAAAAGAGTCATGAAAGGAAAGAGACAGACAACTATAGTTTTTAAATGTTTGAAACTTCCGCCCCCCGGCTCTGCCGGACCTTACTTGTAGAGAGAGAGAGAGAGGTATATAAATAGAGAGAGGTGGAAATATGTAGATAGAGAGGGAAACAGAGATAGCTAGATAGAGAAATATGTAGGTGTATATATATATATGTACATGTAGATAGATGGTTAGAGAAATATGGATATAGAGAGAGATAGGTAGATAGAGAAATAGGTAGATAGAGAAATATGTAGAGGTATATATATATATATGTAGATGGGTAGGTAGATACAGAAATATGAAATGTATATACAAAAAATAGACAGATAGGTCTAGGTAGGTAGATGAAACATATGTGCATAGATTGATATATATATATATATGTACAAAGATAGGTGTATATATATATAGAGAGAGAGATAGGTAGATAGAGAGAGAGACAGAGAGATAGGTAGATAGAGAAGCATGTAGATAGATATATGCATACATGTAGATAGATAGGTCGGGAGAGAGAGAGAAATATATATAGGTGAATATAGAGAGAGAAGTAGGCAGATAGAGGAAGATGTAGATAGAGAGGCAGATAGGTATAGAGAGAGAGAGAAATGTAGATACAGAGAGAGAGATGGCATATATATATACATATTTGTAGAGAGATAGGTGTATATATATACATTTATGTAGAGAGAGAGAGATTGATAGATAGAGAGAGAGATAGGTAGATAGAGAAATATGTGGATAGATATACACATACACAGGTCGATAGATAGGTCGGTAGAGCGAGAGAGAGAGAGAGAGAGAGAGAGGGAGGGAGATAGGTCAATACAGATAGAGAACTAGGTAGATAGAGAAAAAATTAGATAGATATTTAGATGGAGACATAGAGAGAGATAGGTATACATAGAGAGAGATAGGTAGATAGAGAAAGATGTAGATAGGTTTATAGATGGCGAGATAGAGGGAGAGAGAGAGAGACAGGTATTCATAGAGAGAGAGAGAGGTATATACATAGAGAGAGGGGAGATAGGTAGATAGAGAGGGAGAGAGAGATAGCTAGATAGAGACATATGTAGGTATCTATATATACACATGTAGATAGATAGATGGTTAGAGAAATATGTAGACACACACATATATATATATATATTTCTTTTTGCATATGGATCGGTATTCATCGAGAGACAGAGAGATTGGTAGATAGAGAGAGAGAGAGAGAGATGGGTAGATAGAGAAAGATGCAAATAGATTTTTAGATAGAGAGGTAGAGAGAGATAGGTAGATAGAGAGGTAGAGAGAGATAGGATGGAGAGAGACGGAGATTTGCATATATATGCTCACCCCCCCCCCCGTGATCCACATTTGGCATTGCTGCACTCAGTTCTTTCCTGGCTCCTCAGTTTTGGCACATTTTGGCACTCTTTCAAATTTTGGCTTTAAAGGTGCTTTTCCTTCCCAGAAGGATTTGGCCAGTTTTTTAATTATAATTTAAATAGTGTTTACAAGGGAAGAACTCTAGTAGAATTTGTAGTTTTAGCTAGAATAGCATCTCCTTTGCAACGATGATTTCAATTTAGATTTCAATCGGGGTCCTTGCCCAGGAGGAGTGTTCATGTTTTTCAATGATAATTCAA